GAAGTTTGGTGCATTGTGTCTGAATGACGAGAGGAGGATGCTGGCCATAGCAAATAATTAATACACAAGACATAGTGGCAGATCAGGAGAGACAGTAGGACTGACAGAAGAGCTGTGGTTGGTGCCGAGATTCCAGGCTGAATACACAAGACATAGTGGCAGATCAGGAGAGACCATAGGACTGACAGAAGAGCTGTGGTCGGTGCAGAGATGCCAGGCTGAACTGAAATTGCTGATTCGTCCTATACTGGCTTCTCCTGCCCTGTGGTAGGCGTTGCAGCTTCGGGCAAAGAGATGGTAGGAGATGGTGAGAAGGTCAGGGATACTGCTGGAGTTGGCTCGGTGAACGAATGGGTCACTGGAAGCGGTAAGATAAATCCTGTGTGACCTACAGGGGAGTTCTCCATGTTGCTGCTCCTGCCCTGCGGTAGGCGTTGCAGCTTCGGGCAAAGAGGTGGTAGGAGATGGTGAGAAGGTCAGGGATACCACTGGAGTTGGCTCGGTGAACGAGTGCGTCACTGGAAGCGGTAAGATAAATCCTGTGTGACCTACAGGGGAGTTCTCCATGTTGGGAAGGAATTGCTTGTGCAAAGGGCTCCCGAAAAGGACGCTAGTTCAGAGTCCTGTCTCCTCGCCTGCGATCAGGAGCTGTGTTTCTGTAATGGTGGGATTGAGACAGGAGGAAACTTGGCTAAACTGCCTAAAAAGGTGCTTTAAAGTAAGACGTTTTCACTGTTTAGCTGAATTCTTGCAATATTGAAATACACAAGTGTTTGGAGTTTAAACAGCTGACACAGACACAGTTTGAACTCCAACACTTTGCCACGTATAGAAGACGAGGTTACGGCGTATTGAAGCTGTCGGCCTCTTGCTCCCTGTGAAAGAGTGAATTAATATCGATGGCTGCTCTGAATTAAACTTACTGTCCACTCCCAAAGCACATGAAGCGTGGCTGAGTAACGGGTGCAGAAGCTTTCTTGTGCGAGGGATTGGGTTGGTCGAAGTGGAGAGACAGACTGAATATGAGAGCCCGGAGCTATTAACTTTGATTGAAGGAGAACAAGTGGGGTTTTTTTGAACAAACAAGAAATGTGATCTAAAAAGAAGAGTGCGGGGAATGGGAAGGCAGAACTACCGGACAGACATAACATTTTTGTATTCATCTCCAAAAAGAGAAAACCTGCGTGGTTTTGGGGAGAGGGCAAGTATTTGTGAGCCCATCAGTCCCGACACTGCTGTTCATGTATTCTGAAGCTCGAGCCTTGATGCTTTCTGGGAAATACTTATTTCAAAGCAGTTTCTCTGTGCCTTACGTATGTGGAGCTGATCTCGCCAATTAGGTACTTGCAAAGCTCTCGTCATCTCGTGGCATCTGAGCACCTTGTGTTGTTTAGGAAGCACTCCACATGCAAATAACGCCCCAGTGCCATCATTCTTTCAAATTGAGGAGGCTTGAATCCACTGATCTATCCGAAATCCCAGTCCATCTGTTGGCCTCAGGAAACTGTCTGGTGGCTTGCTTTCACGTGTCCCTTCCTCGCCCGCAAACTGCCTCAGCATCCCCAGTGGCTGCTCTGCAGGTGTGCCTGGCAAATCTGAAAGCAAGGTGCTTCCCCCCCCTCCCCCTTTTGTTGTGCCACTTTCCTTAATGCTTCTTTTTCCATTAGGCAGAGGTTGATCTCGGGCAGCAAAAAGAGGCGCCAGGTCAACCTGCCAGCCCCTCCCGTCGCTGCTGCAGCGCGCTGCTTCGCACGCTGCCGGCGGTCGTCACGCAAAGGCTTTTTCCCGCAGCAGGGGCTGTGTGCCTGCCGTTGCACTCCGGGGCTCTTCATCCCAGTGTCGGGAAGCTGGTTCCTGGCACTCTCAGTTTTCGTGGGAGACTGCAGTGCAGCACGCTGCAAATGTATTCTTCATCAGTTCACGTTGTGGTGTTTCTCCTCCTCTTCTACTAACGATACCAAGCTGTCCTAGGAGATTAGTTTTAAACGCTAATTAACTTCTGGTTTAGACCGACTGCAATGGGAAGTCTTTACCACTGACTGCAGTGGCGGTTGACTTAATCGAAGGCAAGCGGCTGCACGTGTCTTAACTCCTCTCTTACCACGTAGAGACCCTGGTAAAAGGCTTAAACCCTTGTTAGAAGAATACCTCCGAGCGTCATAGCCCAACACTCCTGCCGAAATCTCTCTTTCTGACATTCACACTGAAGGATGCTTTTGCAGATGGGACCGCACCCAGACACCAGAACACATCCTGGATTGTGGACTGCATGGGTTGCGTGTGAAGCAAACCCATCAAGATGGGAGCGTGTCAGCAGCTCACCGCGGTGGGCGGTGGTCACCTTAATGAGCAGGCGCAGCCTGCATGGACAGCGCGTCTGCTCCGATGGAAATCTGTGGTCAGAACTGAGCACGTGGGCCAGTTTCACCCGGGCAGCGTTGGGTGTTCAGGGGTACCAGAAGGTGTTCCTAGGTCAGACAGTATGGCTATCTTCCTGCCTTCCGCGGTCAGCCCCTTCGGTTCGAGCGCAAACGTCTCTGTCAAAGCGCAGATGTCTTCAGCTAGAAAGTCAAATGAGAAGGAATGGGAGGAAGGCACATGCTGAGTTTTCTTAATGGGGCAGGTTATCTCTTGTGTCAAAGCCGTGTTCATCAGCTGTATAATTGTGAGAGAGCAGCTGTGTGTCGTGGCGTAATTGGATTGGGAAGCATCCAGAACCCACACGTTCCTGAAAAACTAGAGCTGACGCGGTTAAAATTCCCACATTTTGTGGGATTGATGCAGAGCAACTTTTCATTTTGTGTATTATGTTTTTTATATGTATGATGAAGTAAAATTAGACTCTAGAAGGGCAATGCGGTCAACCGAAGTGGCATCTCTTCCTCAAGAGCCTGCGGTGGGTGTTCCTTACTGTTGTTCTCTGATTTGACTTTGATGTGCCAATTTTCGGCTGATGAATAATTGTCTGCGCTGATAACTTGGGGAGTCAAGTGCGGTACGGCAGTGCTCTGTGAATGGCGTATTCGGTTTCTGCAGCGCGGGGTATCTGATTTAGGACTTTCATTTCAGTCGGTAAACTTGTCAATTAGCTGCATTTGAAAAGTGATTTTGATTAGTGCAATCAGTAAACACAAAATCTCGTCTTTGATTATCACACTGATTAGATAAATTGTTACTTGAGGAGCTGCTAGAGAAGGCAGTTTATTTGGCCTTATAGCTCTAGGAAATGCCTAAGTTCTGACGACTAAAGAAAATATTAATTGTCATTTCTTCTCCGATTTTCACCTTTTTGAAGTGCAATTCACTGCTCCGAGCTTTTTCCCCTCAAAGATTGTTCTCTGTCAAAGCCACACAAACGAATAGTGATAAGGTGGCTTTAAATGGTTTTATGGTTACTTCATTTAAACTCTTCCTTAAACTGTGCCCTGGAGCTGCAGAAAGTTGTGGTTATGGCAGGAGAGCTGGGACCTTTATCCTTCAGGTGGCAAGCAGGTGATTAAAATAGGACATGTGTTTTTAACTAGCCCTTAGGCAGGGTCTGGCTGAAGGGGGGGCACTGTACCAGGGCGAGACCATCATCACCTCGCTGGGTGATCGCTAGAGTGCGGCATGGAAAACGTGTTAATAAACTTCAATTAAAATGTGCAAGTTCTGATCAGGGAGGGAGAGACTGTGTCAGTCTGTAATTGTCCGCATACATGGGGGTCTTGCCTAGCTCGGCCTGCACAGAGGAGGGGGGGGAACGGGGCCGTTATTCTTCCTGGAATACAGGGCAGGGGGGTTCTGGAAGTTTGTGTGTCTCAGCAAGCAAAAGGAGAACCGAGCCAGGCCTAGGAGACCTGCAGGTTGTGCTGACGCAGCCAAAATCTGGCCCTCGCCCTGGCGGCCGCAGGTGGAGACCTACAGGCGTCGGTAACTACAGATAGAGGGGGGCTGTGCATCTGAAAACACTTAGCAGAGCTCCGTTCTTCGTACTGCGTGTATTTCTGGGGTGCTGGTGTCTGAAACTTTGACATTATTAGCAATAAAGTCATCTTAGGATATGTTTTGATTGAAAGTAGTGACACTCCTGGGCTTTACCAAATTTAAAAAAATTTTTTTGCAATTTCACCTTTGTACTTTTTTTTTTTTTTTTCCTTTCAAGCTTCTAATGTTGTGCCTTAATTGCTCGTTTCCCCCAAAGTAGCTGAAGACAGCTTTATGGGCCTGGCTTTTCTCATGTGGTGCTAATCTTGTATTCAGAAGTAAGCGCGGCGTCACTAAAGCACGGCGTTGGTGCCGCCTGTTCGTGCACGCCAGAGCCCGCGTCGTTCACGGCTGCTCGGTGTGGAGGTGCCGCGTACCCATCGTCAGTCCCCGGGGTGCTCTAGGCTCCTTTGGTTGCAGGGTGCACGAATTATACCTGACTCTGAGCATCTGTCGGTAACAGTGTAGGTGCCTGTGTGCGTATGTTTATAGAGAGGCATCTATACTGGTTGGGGGGTGTGTGTGTGTGTGTGTGTATATATGTGTAACGTTTAATAAATGGGTGACACCCCGCGCGTACCCCTCTGCGGCTCAGGCCGTGGCTGAGCTGGGTGGGCTGCATTAGCTCTGCCCCGAGGAGCCCCAGGCAGGAACAGCAGAGCTGCTGCCGATCGGAATTGATTTCCCTGACGAAAGGGGGTGTTCTCCTCAAGGGGGGCCGCCTGAAAGGGGGTGTTCTCCTCAAGGGGGGCCGCCTGAAAGGGGGTGTTCTCCTCAACGGGGGCCGCCTGCAAGGGGATGAAAGGGGGTGTTCTCCTCAACGGGGGCCGCCTGAAAGGGGGTGTTCTCCTCAACGGGGGCCGCCTGCAAGGGGATGTTCTCCTCAACGGGGGCCGCCTGAAAGGGGGTGTTCTCCTCAAGGGGGGCTGCCCGCACCCTCCCCTGCGTGCTGAGTGCTGCCATGTAAGGTTTCTGCCCGGGTCCGGCCGTTGCAGCCCATGGACAATCCAGCCAGCGTTAGGAGAGAGGCGCCCATTTTCCTCTCTCTGTTTTGTTTGGGTTTTTCTTTTTTTCCTCCCTTTTCTTTCAAATTACTGCAAAGCTTTGGCGTGCTTGAATATTGGCAGTTTAACAGGGCGTTACTGTCCCGTCGCAGCGCGGCCATTAGACAACTTCTGGAACCAGCTGTTGAAATTAGGTCGCACTTAAAGACCATTGAGGAGAATCAAAGGTGTCACTGAAACTGAAGCCTTTGATGGATGCACAATCTGAGTGTTGTGGGCTGACCAGGGAGCTATTGATTAGCTGTTTCTTTTATCCTGTTTACTGACCAGTTTATTTAGAAGAACAACAACCGTTTAATTGCATGTCCTGTTAAAGCAATGTTGTTACTGCTGCGGCTTTGTAAGGAGCGAGTTTGGGCAGAAGAAACAATTGAGAAGTGGGTGGTCTTTTCCACTGCGGTCCCTTACAACTGCAGAGCTAGGTCTCTGGCCGAGTTTCTACCTAAAAAGGTTTAATTCAGTCTGATTACTTTATCTGAGAGATCATTAATAGACATATATTATCACTGTCTGGGTTAACTTTTAAATCTATTTTTGCTATCTTTAAATATATCCTAAATATAACTCTCTCTCTCGAAACGTGAATAAAGCGGAACTGCTGGCTTTGTTCCGTGCTCCGGCCGTTCTTTCAGCTTGCTTTATAGAATGACTTTGCCTACTCAGAGGGGAACTTGCCCGTATTTTGACCATTAAGTATTTGTTGCTCACCAACGTGGTGTGTTGCAGTGATGGCTCAGGGGGTGCGTGTGCGTGTGTGTATCTCATCCTTTTCGTATCGTGTAGAGAGGGATGTGTGTCTAAGAAATGCAAGCGTTAAATGAAGTCTTCAGTCGTTACGGTAACAGACTGGGGGTTGCACGTTTAAAACTTCAAGGGAAGGTACCTGGGAAGCGCCCAAGCACTGGCCAGCACTCATCCTGGAAATTGAAATTCATTCTTCTTATAACCTGAAGCTTAGTGGACTTATTAAAAAAAAAAATTGCGTTTTATTAACTAACACTAAGCTTGCCACTGATGGATGCAAGGGCTCTGCCAAAAGCAGAATCTTAGCCGACGGCTTGGTGAAATGTATTTGGTAGCATATCCAGTTTGAGCTGTTCTGTTTGACTTCTTAGAACAAGCCCGCGGGCATGCGTAAGTGGAGCACAGCTCCTTAAGGACACTTGCTCTTGTTTATTTTAACTTTCTGTTTTACCCTCCAGATCTTAGACCCCAGGAGTCTTGGCGAGGTCCGACACCCTTGTTTCAACAGACGCTGCAGAGGTAAGGCAGGAGGGGCTGCAGGTTGGTAAAATGTGGCCGGGAGGACGCACTTTGTTCTGCCAGGCTTCACAACTTTTTTTTTTTCCCCTTCATTTTGAACTTTGTTGTTTAAATTTGTGGAAATCATGCTGTACAGCAGGGTTTTTTAAGTTAATTAATGTCCATGATTTATTTATATTTTGTGAGTGCACTACGTGGTGTTCATCCTTTAAAAGACTTGAGTACTTTGTATTAAAAAGAAGGCAAAAACACTTTCCATTAAAACTCAGACTTCAAAATTAACTTTACTGTTGGTGCTTTGGTACCGTTCTTGGTTCTTTGGCCTTTATCTTATTGAAGCTTTTGAGATACTATGAAATTGAACACAGAGAGCTTAAAACTGCATTAGATTTTGGACAGGCTAAACAAATTTCTTTTTAGGAGGGCTGTGGAGCTTAATGAGGCATAACTAATGGTGTTCCACTTTTATCATTTCTGTGCCGCAGCCGCAGCATTAGTACAGACCAGCCATTGATTCTTGCTACAAACCTCTTGAAGTCCTAATCAGCTTCTTTGGTACAAGTTTTTCAGGCCTGACAAGCCTATTGTAGGGCAGTGTCACTGTAGGTCAGTAGTTATTAGTTGCCACTGAAAACAGTTTCTTTAACTACTTAAGGCTGAACTGAATTAAATGCAGAAGGGACTCAGGGAAGGATTATGGAATCCGCAGTCCAATAAGTGCCATCGAATAGAAGGAATGTGACATGGTTTGATAATAAGGGATGTTTTACATGCGTTCCTTCATTGATAGGTTGTACGTCCTTAAGTCAGACAGACCCTATAAACTCCAGCGTACCTGTGAAAGCTATGAATAATGATATCTATTTATATTTATGGAGGAACGAGAGCGTATGTGAGATCTCTGAAGTTTATGGTCTGAGGCACAACTTTTTTTTTTTTTTTTTTCCATGGTTTTATTTGCAAACGTTAACCATTGAAAATATCAGCTTCAGGAGAATTTGAGCTCTCTGCAATCACGCTTTCCATGGCAACCGTTCTGATCCCTATTGAAATAAGTCTGGCTTCCTTGTCCTGTGCCACATCAATGGGGAATATCGCATGAAAATGAATCTGGCATTACGAACTTTAACGTTACTTTGTCCATAGGAGTTGATATTCCCACACCTTAATTAAATCCAATTCATGTAGTACCGTTTAGTGAGATACCGCTACCAGTCCATAACTTGTCATTACTTTTACGATGCTATACTTTATCGCTTTACCAGGCTGTTTGTTTTTGCAAAGCGGACGAGTTTCTCAATTCACATATAACTAACTTCTTTCATCCAGAAACTCTGTTTACTTCTCCCTTGAAATACACGTTTTTATTACAATTGTAGTGATCAGCTGTCTCTGTGATGGGAATCCTACTGTAAGGTTGCTGTGCTTGGTTTGTGCTGATATTTTTAGAAGCGACTGCACGCTCCCAAGTGCCCCAGAGCGTTTTTGCAGGTAGGCGGTGTTGACGATTCGAGCCGCTAACCTGTCCAGCGTGCTTCTGGTGTCGTGGTATCGACCTCGCTATTCAGTTCCCAAACTTGAGGAAATTGGTGTCCCCCAAGGTGACTTTAAATTGAAGATGTATCATCTTCACCTAGAAAATAAGCTTTAGAGAAGCTTGGAGAATGCTGTTCGAGCTTTCGAGTGACAACAGTATACGTACAATACTTTCCCTCCCTGGTGGTGCTTTGTTGTACCTCTGATGGCTTATGAAAACCATTAACTTGCAGGTTTCCATGCCAAGGATAAGTAATTTTGCCATCTTGGAAGATGTTTTGATTTGGGAAACAAATCAAATGGATGCTTAGGGCTGGCATTGAGTTAGATAAGTGTGGAGACGTAAGCAAAAGTTTAAACAGAAACATAAAGGCTCAGTGCAGGAAGAAATGGCTGAACCCGTTGAACTGAACCACCCCCCCCACCCCCCCAAGAGGTTTCCAGTTTCCCAGTTAATTCCCTGGGAGCTGCCAGCTTCCCATACCACCACCTTCAAGGCTGTGTCCCCACTTGCTGCTGCAGCTTCAGGTGCTCCAGGAGCCACAAGGTACTGCCGGGGAGAGCAGCGAGGAATTTCTGTTCTCTGTCACCTCTGCTCCCGAGAAGAAAGTAATTGAGGGAGAGGCCAGCCCCTGCTCCAGCCTTTTCAGATGAAGTGGGTTGGCGGGAGGCTACGATATCCTTGATTTGCGACGTCAAGCAAGGGATAAGCAAGGAGCCCTGTCCCTGCAGAGAAAGCTTTGAGCCTTTGTGCTATTTCAGGGATAGCGTACTGCAGTGGGGACTAAACTAGCTCTCCACAGGCCTGGGTGGAAAAAACCAGTAGCTTAAAGCTCTATTTCTTCATAATCCAGATGATCTTGTCTCCTGCATAAGACACATACCTTTTAAATTTAGTGATGTAATTCAGTGTGCAGCAAGTACGGTAAAATTGGTGAGATGCTGTTGAACAGGGCACCTTTCAGCACGTCCTCCTCAGGCTTGGGTTGGTCTGGGCTGCGTTACTGGGGACTGCAGAAGATTCTTTCATGCTCTTGCCTTCTGTGCTGGGGGTCTGATATGTTTCAGAGTTTGTTTATTTTATATTTTTATATATATATAGCATATGTATTTATTTGCTACCTGGTTTCCTGGCTGATGGAAATTTGCTCATAGAAGAGATTTCCAAAGAGGCTGAGGTTGGAGCACAGAAATGTTTTACTGTGCAAAGCTTCCTGAAGTTGTATTTTAGCTGTCCTGTCTGTATATGTTTATATACATATATATAGTTTAATCGTACCTTGACACAACTCTGGATTGTGCATTTGCGTAACTCCGCCAGTGTGTGCTCATGCGACATTCCAAGTGGCACCATTCTTTTTGGTACCCACGAGGCACAGCTTTGCTGCATACAAATCCCCACCCTCGGGTAAACTGAATTGCCGATCAATACATCCACTAGATGAACATGAAGTCAAGTGCTGGAAGTGCTAGAATTTCCTGATTTCTGTTTACCAGATGAAAATCTAGCTGATGAATTTAAATGAAAATCTAAAGTTTTGGTTTGTTAAAAATAGTGCATAGTTCTGTGCTTTAAGAGCGGCAAAAAAGGTGAGAGCTGCTTTTCTGGCTATAAAATCAGAAAATGCATTGCAGCTTTTTTTTTCCCCCCCCTACTAGTTTTATCCTCCTCCAGTACTGGTTCTAACTATAAATCCCCAGTTCCCCTCTTTCAGATGGCCTCAAAGGAAAAAATGTCCCGACAGAATAGCGATATTAGTGTTTATATGTTTGTTAAATATCCCAACTTCGCACTAAGCAGTACTTCATTTAAAATAAGTATTTGGCACAGAGCTTAAACTTTTTATTAATGTCACGTGAAATGTGTGTCAAACGTTCCCGTTCCGGGGCAGGTAGCACGTGTTGGCCTGCGATCATCGGGCGCTCAGGGTATTGATCACAGGCACGTTGGCAAGGGTGGAGAGGCAGAGTGGCTGTTGCTGGAAGTGCCAGGCCTGGGGCTGTGTAGGTAATTCCCAGTAGATTTCCTTACGGCTGAGCAGTGCATTCTTCCCGCAGAGCCTGCTGTTTTCTAGGAATAAGGGGCGGAGGGGAGAGGGGGGGCTAGTACTTAAAATACTTAATCAAAAGGAGTATCATACTTAGCATGCTGATTTTGTGTTTATTCCCTGGAAGCGTTACGTGCTCTAACTTTCCATACGGTGTTGCTCCTGCTGTTGAGTGACCCGGATAACATCCTGCAGCTCTAGACATAACCTTTGAAGCTGAAAATAAACCCACGCGGTTCAGTATTACCACTTAGCTTTTGTGCGTGTTCATTTTTAGTGAGTGTTGCACGTTGTATTCACCAACTGCATATTTATCAGGTAAGACTCACACTTTATTATAAACAGGAATCAAGTTATTTCATTTCTAGAAGACGTAGGAGTTCCTAAAATGCGGGCAGGTCGGAATCTGAGCAGGTGGAGCAGCTGTTTTGCAGGCTTCAGTGTGAACCCAAAAGCAATTTGCATCCAAAGACAGAAAGCCTTCACGTCCAAAATGCCAGTGTTCGTTCATTTTATCCTTAGGTTTACCTGTCCTGATTCCAGCTTTGCCTCTGTTCCAGCTGGTGGAACATGTGTTAAAAGTCCTTCCCCTCCCAGCATGGCCCGCTCGGCTTGCCCAACGCTGTACAGCGGGCTGCCAGCCCTCCCTTGCTCCCAAGGCGTGCGGCTCGGGGAGGAGGCATGAGTGTTTGAAAGAATAGATCAGCCTCTGGGCAGGGTTACTCCTCCGAGGCTGGAGTCCTGCCAGTTTAATCCAGCAGATCGGGGCAGAGACGTGCGAAGTTACGGCGGTGCAGCAGGTAAAGGCAGGAGGCAGGGCTGGTGCTCCCTGCCGTTGCCGTCTCTCAGCAGGCCGGCCGCGCGCTCTTCGACTGCCTCTCTTAAACAGGGGTCAGAGAAGATTAACTGCCTCCGGTGCTTTTCCTTCACAGCCCTATATTGTATAGCAAAACATAACGGCTACACGTTCTGCAAGGAATTGTACCCTCACCCCTGCTCAGCTTTAAAGGCTATATCATGGCTCTGTCATTTTTCTAAATATTTTTAATCAAACAATGATTGGATGCATTATACCTGTTGCTTTATAATTGTAATGCTAGAATAGGTACTTGAAGGCAATTAAAACATTTCTTGCTGTTGGTAATCTAGGATGGCAAACTAGGTTATAATGGATGTTGAATTTGCGTTCCCATATAAACTGTACACCAAATGTCAGTCAGCCCATGCCAATTAGTGCTTATGTTGCTAGGTCACCGTGGTCAATTGAAAACGGCATCAATAGAACTTGAAAAGGTTTCTTCCCGATCAGACCTTCTGACATATTGAGCAGAATAATGGATGGGAAAAAACAGCCAAGGCCCCTACCCTAGATTCAGAATACTCGCCGTAAGAATTCATTTGCAACCTGCAATTAACTAGAAAGAATGGACTCCCAGAAAGAGTCTGGACATTGAGAGAAGAAAGCCTTATTCTCCTGTTCCGCACATGTTTCGTCTTTGCATGGTGTGTTACGTTTAGCTAACTTGCTGATATCTGGGGCTTAATCTGTGTGCAGGATCGGTGCGGACAAGTTTCCTAATTTGCCCCTAACGTAAAAGATGGACTGAATCCTTCCAAGGAATTTGAAAAAAATCCCCGATTTGTAAAATTGAATTTGCTGCCTGTGGTAGTACCTGGTTCTGTAGCTTTCGAGCCGCGGTAAAGGACGCGGTAAGCGAATGTGGCCTTTTGGTAGGAGAATCTTGGAAGGTATTCCCCCCCTCCCCGCTCTACCTCTGATGGCTTAGCCACCTGCAGCACCCCTGCAGGCATAGCTGGCTGTGGCAGCATTTAGCTCTGAGACAAATCAAATCATTTACCATACCAGACTACAGAAACTTGGGGGTTGTGGTGTGGAGCTAAGTTCACGCTGCAGCACGTTTCTTCTGTTCGCAGGACTGCTGGGGCTGCTCCTCTTCTTGCCTGGAACCGCATGCTGCAATCCCAAAATCAGTACCAGCCAAGCCAGTACCAGGTGCTGGGCGGACCAATGAACTACCCACAGAGACCAGAAGATCGGATGGACAGGGGAAGACAGGTATGAAAGCGTTGCCCCGTTTGGCACGTTTTGTGCTCCTCCTGGGTAAGGCTTCCTCCACGCGTGGCTGCGGAGAGCGCGTGCAGCGCAGGTAGGTGTTCCGGGGCTGGCTTTACCCCGCTAGCTGTGTCACCAGCTGAAAGCACTGACAGGCAGGCTCCCCAGCCCCATCCAGCCCCTCCGCGGGTACCCCTGGCAAAAGGCCCATGCCGTGACCCTGCCACCACTGCTTTTCATTAAAAGTCAATCAAACACGCTACCCAGTCACACGCTTCTCGCAGCCTGAGAAGACATGGTCTGAAGGCAAGTATTTCAGCCAGAGTCTTCCCCTTCTGAAAGGAAATCTATTGGCTACACATTTTGGGGATAGAAAGGTTGCTCCCCAGTATGTTTAAAATATAAGTTCTTACGACTTCATTAGTTTTTCCTCTCAAATGTTTATTGGCTTTCTCATAGCTGAAAAACTACTTGAATGCAGATGTTAGAGTCTAGTAGCCGGAGAAACAAACATGTCTGTGAAAGCACACGTGAAAATAGCTGTGTGTGGTTCCATGAGAACAAGTGACCGTGATGGGAGAACCTCACCCAGAATCGTAGGTGACTCTGCCATCAGTTTATGAAAATGCCACAGAATGAAAATGCTGCTTGAAAGCAGCCGGTGATTCTGCTGACGTGACTTTGTGTGTGAGTGTGCTCAGTAAAAACATAATCTGCATATACTCCTGTACTAGAAATTCGAGTGTTTGCAATGCTGTCTACTAGTTTAATATGGATATCTGACATTTATTTTAAACTTGTCAGTTCTGTTGCTGCTTTGGTAAGTCGGATGATGACCCAGCTGTGGGAAGGCTACTGACCAGTAAGGGAGGAAGAGGAGGGAGGGCGCTCGGTGACTTGGTAACAGCACTGTTTCCCAACCCCGTATATGGAAACTAAGGCGCAAGTTGTTTGAAACTTGCCTTCTGTTGGGCCTGGTTCCGCTGCCTCTCACAAACGTGCTCAGGCCAAGCCACTCCTTGGAGCGCGCTCTTCGTTCTTTATTTCTTCCCAGTGCCCATCTCCCGAGTGCGCAGGCGTTTGTCTTGCAGGGTGCAGCACAGACACACTCAGATTTGGAGTTTGGTTTCTGGGGCTGTTTCTGCATGCTGCAGGCAGCACACAGGCATTTTCCCCTGGGTATAGATTTGGTCCTGAGTGTACTGGATAATGGCCTGGCCTCCTCTGCTTATAGAGCAGGGACTGCAAGCCCAACCCGTGTAAGTTCTGCTGTCGTACGGCGTATGTGAACGTCGCCTTTGTAGCATTTCTACCACTTCTCTGATTCTTCGTCTGCTTTATGTTTTTCTTTTCCGTTCGGGTCGGGAGGCTCAGGTAGCACAATCTACCACAACCACTTTTGCACCGTGACGTCATTACGGCGCCGGGGGTTTTGAGGCAGCTAATGCAATAAAAACACGTCCTGTCAGACCAAGCTGGTAAGGGAAGAGCAGCCTTTGGCCTTTGCTGGAGAAGCTTTTTGCAGAGTGCCGCGTGCCCCTCTGCCCGGCTCAGCTCGTCGGGACCGAAGCCCAGCAGAGACAGCCCGGGAGCTGCTAATGCCGTTCTCAGCATTGTCTGCCGAGGGCAGGATTACGCGGTGCGGCTGAAAAGATCTATAGCCCACAAGCAGCCTGCCCCAGCGCTCCCAACTCTCAAACTCTTGTTCGGCTGAGCCCTTGTTAGCAGCAGCGAGACTCCCTTCTCCCCCCCCCCCGCCCCCAACTCCTACCCTGAAGCGTTCTTAGTGCAGAGGAGGCTTTTGAGGCTGGAGTAAGAATTGTCTTTAGCCCGTTCAGTAGTTGTATTGGTGTTGGAGCAAGAAACGGGGAGGGGGGGAAGAGAGAGGCAAGCACGCCACCGTGCACTCCTGCTCCCAGTATAGTGGGGAGGCATCACCAGCACAAATCCTTCCAGGACTGGGTTTGGCTGTCAGCAAGACTGGGCGGCCTGGGTTATGATCATGTTGGGCTTAACGGGGAAACACTGGGGCGTGAATCCTGGGGGGGCTGCCCAGCTAGTCCCCCATGTTTTGTTGAGCGCATTCCAAATTTGGATGAGGTGTGTTGATAGGATCAGCCTTCAAAAATCTTTAGGTCTGTGTTACATAGGTTTAGCCAAAATACCGGAGACACAGGAATAAATGTGTCATTGCACCGATCCATGAGGGGGGCTGCTGTAATAATGTAGGAAAATCTGTGGAGGATTTTGATGCTGGTGGAGTCTGGGTGGTGTCTGATTAGCACTGGAAAACAGATACTTGGAAAAAAGGTCTGTTTGCAATGCCGTACTCTGCTCTGCCCTGCACCCCGAGGAGTGTAGGCGGATATATTTGCAAAAGGAATCGGAACTAGCTCATCCCCAACCTTAAATCTTCATGCCTAACGGCTCCAGCTGGAATCGCAAGGGTGAACGGGAGTTGTCTTCCAAAAATGGTTGCGGGGTGGGCTCAGGGAGGGCACCCCCTGTTCGGTCGCATTTGAAACCGTGGGGTCTCAGAGCATCGTGGGCATGCACAGCCCGGCAGGGACGGGAAACCTCCGCCCTCGCAGCGCCCCAGCTGCTTGCCCCCGGGCCGCTTGAAGAGGAGGCCCATGGCTGCTTGGAGGTGCTGCAGTCTGGCCCAAAACACGATTCCCCTGGCCCTAGCATGGGACGTGCCTGCTGGATCGTGAAGCGAAGTTAAAGCTGGGTGGTGACAGCGGTTTTATCTGTATTCCCGTACGTGGTGGTTGTTAAGGACAAATCTTTCAGCTCAAGTGAATTTGCTTCCTTAAAAAATGTCCTTTGCATTTGTGTTGCTTTCCAACTTGTTTTTATCTCCTTTTATATTTTTTTTGTTGCTGCTTTTCTTTTTTTTTTTGTTGTTGTCATTTTAAAATGAACTTCCAGATGTCGTTATTTCCTCGGGGCTGACAGCACTGGAGTAGAATTAGAAGCTACCTTAAAGGCTTTTGGGTGCAAAACCAATAATTGAATCTAGCATTGCTGCCTGTACATTTCAAAGCTTTAAAGCCTTGAAAAGGGATTCAAGTGGAAGTGGTGACACATAGCAGCATAAATAATTATCTTTGGTCCCTTTCACCTCTGAATTCTTTTTTTACAGCATACAGAACATGGTCTGAAGAGGTTAATAAACGCGCTGCTACCAAGTGCTTACAAAATTAATGCAACTGCCATGGATATGGGTTGCTCTGGGGTAGTGGGCGTTCGGTGGTGGGTGCCTTCCAGCTGTTCCAGAAAACAAAAATGAACTTGATCGTGTTGTGCGGGGGTCTGGCGCTTTTATTGTAGCCCTCAGTAATGCACCCCTGAGTGCCCAGCTAAATGTCTCGTGCGGCTCTGCGCAGACCCCTGAATTGTAGCTCTGTGCGGGGATCGCTGCTCTTCACCCAACTGGGAGGATTTTTCAGGGGACGCGGCTTGCTTCCTTTTTTTAATTGATCGCAATCAAACCCCAAACCAAACGTAAACCCTTCCTGACAGCAGGAAACCCGGCGCGTTCTGCACTGCCCGTGGAGCCCTGTGCGAACGGGGCGTAACACAGCGGCTCCTGCTCGGAGTCGTTGCTGCCTGCCTGACCCCAGCGGCCCGACGCGCACCTCCCCTCGGCGCAGGTTTGCTCCTCGCCCGCTCGCCAGTTTCCATGGTTCTCCCTGAGCCCCCGTAGACAGGGTGAAGATGGGTTTCTCTTTTAAAGAAATAAAGGGAGCCCCTCGTCCCCTACCCACAAAAAAAAAAAAAAAAAAAAAAAAAAAAATCCACCTAAGAAACAAAACAAGCAAGCCCTGTAGCTGTCGTTAGTGCGTCACGTTTAATTAACTTTCTGGGCTCTACTGTGCGTCAGGGTTTGAAATAATTTTAAATGTTTCAAGAGGGCTTTTAATGATGTTTTCGGGCAGATTTTTTTGCACTGGGTAGTTGATGTACAGAATGCCTCGCCTAAATTTAAATACAAAAATGTGTCTGGTTCGGGGTGAGCGCCAAGGTGGGATTTGGGCATCTTTTGCCTTTTATTTAAAACGAATGAGTGCTGGAAAATGCTGCTTCTCGAACAAATGCAATTTATTTTTCCCTTTCTTAAAATACTGATCTGTAAAAACGCCTGCCTCGCCTCAGCGCGAGACTGCTTACACCTGAAACGGAAAGCGGCAGTTGAGGGAAATTTATTTTTTTGTCCTCTTAAAAAAAAAAAAAAAAAAATAACCCTGAGCAATCCTCCGAGCAGCGTACGGGCATCGCGCATCTCAGCCCGATACGCTGGTCCGCGAAAGCGGCTTTGCGTCATCGCTCGGTGTAACGCGTAAGCGTCCGCGCCGCAAGGCCCGTGCTTCTGGAGGGATTAAAACCCGTGCGTTCGACGTCTGCCCTTCAGGTGCCTGCGTGAGGGGGTCTGCGCCCGTGGCTTTAACGTTGCCAGCCCTTCGTGCTTCCAGCGTTGCTGAAAGCAAAGGGCGGGCAGAGGTGGTGCAGCGCCTTCTCCTCGCTGCCGTCTTCCTTGCCCATCCACCGCGTCGCTCCTCCCGCGGAGCAGCTGGAAGCTGCGGCCGGAGCTGCCCCGAGCCCCTCTCCGGGGTGGACGTTAAAGCCTGTGTGTGACAGGAGAGCGGCTGCAGGCGCCGTCGAGAGGGGCCCGGCCCGGCCCGCGCTCCCTTGCCGTGCAGAGGATGTATTGTTTCATTTCCGCGTGGCGCCTGAAGCGCGCCTGGCTTGTTTGCCGTGACGTTAATCCAAAAAATAAATGCTTGCTTTTGTTTGTTTGTAGGCATATGGCCCCGGGAGGCCCTACCCGCTGCCACCTCCCTCAGGAAGATACAGCTGGAATTAGCTCTTGACTCCCTTTTGTTGGTGGTGGTGTTTGTTTGTTTGTTTTTAAGTATAGAAAATGTACGGGGTTTTGGTTTGGTTCTTCTATTAACTGGGGGGGGAGAAATGGAATCCTTAAGAAACATCCCAGTAGTTTTTAAACTATGATACTTGGTTTAAATGTGCACATTTCTAACCAAATCGATTTTTTTTTTTTTTTTTCCTAATTATTTGGGGGGCGGGGGGGAGCTACGTCGCTTGGAAATAGCGCGTTGCAAACTAGGAGTACGCTAGACCTGCTGATCCGCCCGTGAGGCCTTGGATGGGGTGGAAGTGCCGGCGCCCCCGGCGCGTACACGAGCTGCGCCTGCCAGGCTGAACCCCAAACGCGCTCTGCTTCCCGCCCGAGAGCCCGCACGCGGACGCGGAGTTATAAAGAATGTGTAGAAATCGGATTTTATTCACTCCGGGGGAAGACCCAGCGGGCAGCCTGCGGAGCGCGGTGTTCCAGGACGCATCCCTCGCCATTCCCTGTCGGACGCTTCCTTGAATTTCTCACGACGAGAGAAGTTTTTTGGTTTTTTTTTGGGGGGGTTTTTTTTTTGTTTTTGGACTCTGAAGTAAAACATTTCAACTTTTACAACTTGTGCCTGGTTTTGGCTTTTGTTATTGTAACATAAAGGAGCACGGGAAGTGTGTTTGTCTGATTTGATATATAATTTAAACCAGCTGCGAAGTACAGAGTTGCCATTCCTTTTTAGCACTCTTTTTAGGGGTTTTCCATGTGAGTGTACCAAATCGGTAAATATTTTTATTTGCTTTATAAAGTGGCTTTTGAAATTCTGAGCGGTATCGAGTGATTTATTCCCAACCCCCTCCAGAACCTGTTTGTATCTCTTCTCCCTACCTGTGTGCACATGGTTATAGTAATTTCTTGGAAAATAATTCCCCACGGCCTTTACCGTAGCATTTAAAAATCTTTGTTTAATCAAAAATAAAAAAAAACCAGAGGTCCTCCAGTTAAATGAGCGGTGTTAGCGCTAATTGATAAATTAATATACTGTCTCTCCATCGTGCTCCAGTTGGACTTTTCCAGCGCGCAGACGTAGCGCTGGACACCAGCAAACTCCAAAGCCCCTCCGCAGGCCCGGGTGCAAGGCACGGCGCGCCCCACCATCGCTGTTTCAGCCCGGTCCTTGGAGGGCCCAGATGTTAATCACCAGCGACGAGGGAAAAGACCAGACCGCTGTAACCTTGGGAGGAAGAAATCGTGAAACTGGATTCATTATTTTCAAGTGATTGAGGGTGGAGCAGAATCCTTCATTGTAATGCAAAGAGTTGCCATCCTGCCCGGCGCTGGGAAACGCCATCAGCCCTCGCCAATGGCCTTCTCCCTCCGCCGGGGAAGTATTTGGGTCTCGAAAAAGTAATTTTGCTTTTTGAGCGGAACAAAACCAGCGGCGGACGTGAATTTTCATGCAAATGGGGTGGCTGAGTGCGAGGCCGGAGGAAGGAGCCCGGTGGCTCGTCCGTACGCAGCCAAAGTGCCCCGTGAACCCGGGGTGCGAGTGGGCTTTTGTCCCTCACTCTCTGTCTTTTGGGGTGGGGGGTACGGAAGTGGGGCTGGATCAACGTTTTTGGGGGCTGCCTTGGGAAGGGCTCATCCCTGCACATTCCCCCTGCCCAGCTCTTCGCCCCCTTGGCCGCTGGTCTCTAAGCGGGCTGGCATTCCCCAGCGGAGCCTGCCCTCGACCCTGGGAGATGCGGTGCCCCCCCCGGACCCTCGGAGCGGTGCTTGGAGCAACGTGCTTGGCTGGGGGCTTCGGTGCCATCGCGCAGGGATGGGATTGGGGGCCTTGGCCGTGGAGCATCGCCCCTCCCCGGCTGTTGGCTTCCACTGCTCGTGTATCCCCCTGCCCAGGCGTGTGGCCCCACTGCGTCCCAGCCCTCTCCAGGACCCAGAGCCTCTGGGGTATTTAGGGATGGCCCCTGGGTACAGGACCTCCGTGGCCATCCCAAAACCACTCTACCTCTGTCTAGATACATATTTTCCAAGCCCGACCTGAGCCTGAAGCCTCCAACCTTGCATTACCAGGGCTTGGGGGAGGGTATGGGCTCTCTCACACCATGGGGCTCAGCGCCATCCCCTTCCCAAGGGCCATCCCCATTCCGCAAGCTGTCCCCCGTGAGAGCCCAGCCATGGAAAAGGGGGGATCCCTGCGCATCGCCCCGTCCCCCCGAGGGAGCAGTCCCCATGCGGCAGCTGCCGGGAGGGGAAGGGGAGGGTCCCCGCCGTTCCCCTCCCGGCCCCTGGAGTGGCCGCTTTGGGACCTGGGAGCCGGCCTCTGGGCTCACAGCGGCCGGAAT